CATCTAGACAATCTAGACAGGAATCGGCCGACTAAAATCGTCGTGTGTGCGCCTAGCTTTATGAAAAAGACAAGATTGGATTTTTATACCTACACAAAAAAGGATTATGCATCAAACAACGAAAAGGTATGTACATAAATCTTATAGGGCCCTGTCTACAATTTAACTGGCTTTAATAATATATTTGCATGTGTATCTACATAAATAATATGCAAATATATGTCACATGCGTTGCCATTTGCCTTTGCATTCCGAGCCTATCGGCTTTCTACTTATAAATACTTATGTGCTAAAGCTTGTAATTGCGAATTATCTGACAATATTCTTTAAACTTTAACGTTGGACTATGTTTTATATATATTCACTCCCTGAATGATTTCTATATTAAGCGATTGAATTTTGATACGGCATGTCACAACACAATCTCATAATTTATAATTGTACATGTACAATACAAACATATGGTAGCATACAGGTGAAAATATTTGAAAGTTTCTCATTTGGCTTAGGGTTGTACAAATACTTTCGTTAAATATGATTCAGCTACAACTTTGAACTAAAAAAGACAGGGCTACACAATAGCCCTGAAAATCGTAATGAGCGTGATAACTCTGGATAACTCTAACATTGACCTTATCATGATGCTAATAAGATTAACATTTGCCTTATCATTTGATAATTTTGAGCAAAGCTCTCTTTATTATTGTATAAACGTGTACCAAATGGCACTGAATAGTTACAATGCATATCGATGAGCTATATTTATAAAGAATCTTCCAATGCAAAGCCATAATATTTAAAAAATATAGCATCTTAACATTGACCTTATCATTATGCTAATTAGCTTAACATTCACCTTATCATTTGATAATTTTGAACAAAATTCCCATTATTTTTGTGTAAATGTGTACTAAATGTCACCATATAGTCACAAGACATATCGATGAGCTATATTTATAAAGAATCTTCCAATGCAAAGCCATAATATTTAAAAAATATAACATCTTAACATTGACCTTATCATTATGCTAATTAGCTTAACATTCACCTTATCATTTGATAATTTTGAGCAAAACTCTCTTTATTATTGTATAAATGCGTACCAAATGGCACTAAATAGTCACAATGCATATTGATGACTTATATTGATAATGATTCCTCTGATGTAAAGCCAAAGTATAGAAAAAATATAGCATGTTAACATTGACCTTATCATTATATTTTGTTGTATAATGTTCACTCCCCCCTGGTAAATGGTTCTTTTGCAACAAATAGACTCCTTAAGTAGATAAGTTGAAAATAATGGGAAAATAAAAGTGGCATCTTAACATTCTACTTATCATGTAGTGTGGACGCGGACGGGGACAGTGACGGGGACAGTGACGGGGACGGGGACGGGGACGCGGACGCCAAGACTATAGCAATAGCTCTCTTGCACTAAAGTGCAGGCGAGCTAATAAAATGCTAAAAACAAACAAATTGCCAGAGATAAGGGACATGTTCAATGAAGGTCTGGTACTTGAGTAAATTTAAACTTTATTATCCATATTGGTAAATATTGCTTATAAAATCATATGTGGTTAAAAAAATTTTACTGTCGTCATGCATAAAATTGATTATGCCAAACACTAATACATTTGTAGGTCCCAACAGGGTGATTAGGCACTCAAACTCTAACTATTACATTGTTATAGGTGATTTCAATAGTTTTGTATAATAATTTTACCTGTATAAATATCGTTCATCGGAATTTGATATCAAAAAGTTCTACAGGGTGTCTAAAAAAAAACGCAACCACTTAAATATGCAAGAATATTAATATTGTTCGGGTTTGCACCATAGTTCAGCTAAAATGACTTTTAAATGAAGGATTAAGAGCCATTTTCAATTCCCAGAGGTGCGTATCTATTGCGCTTTAGAGCTGTATTAATGTTCTGCATATTTAAGTGGTTGCGGTTTTTTTGAGACACCCTGTATACTACAATTATTATTCCAAATATAAACCATATAATCTAACAAAAACAATATAGGAATTCTATTGAGAGCTATTTAAAAAGTACAGTTCAATAGAGCGGAAAATCATTCTCGTTTTCACCTGAACAAAGTGGTTGTTCAAAATTGTTCAGGGAAGAGTTTCCATAGTCAAAGGAAATTTCTTTGAAATAAGTTCCGGTATGGGGAAATGGTTTCAATTTGTATATACAAAGTAAAGGCATAAAATCGACGAACTGAAAAACACCCGTGCGTTCACATGGTCACGGTTTAGAGCTAAGCCTAGGTCGAAACATAAACAATTGCATGGCTCGTTTGTTAATTTTAAGCTTTGAAATGTATACTGGCTTGACACAATTGTAGCTTCAAAGAGAATGTAATCGAGCTCTGTCCCGATCTATATAACAAATTATTTCTATGTCTACACTACCATTACAAAGAGCTGCAGTTTGATGCAATCCAAATGGCATGGATATTACGCAAATACTGTAATTTGAACGTAGTTTTCCATCATATTTATCATTGTTTATTGACGTTAGATTCCATCATATTTATGACCTCTCAAATATGACAATTTCGAAATACATTTGAACTCCAACAAGGAATATTATATAAATGAAAGTACTCTCAAAATTGTTGCAAAAAACTAAAATATCCGACCAAAATGCTATATACTGTTCACGCAAATACATACAATAAAGTGGTACCTCAAGTGTCGATCATATTGCATTTGAGCGTCGATTAGGAATGATTTTCTCTGGCTTGAGGAGCGTAATAATATTGTTTATTCTCGACGACTGTCTACAACATCAAGTCTTAAATTACATATCACGTGTTTATTCTCGTGACTAAATGCACTGGTTACTTTGACGTACACATGTAAAAATCTCGCATTTTGTCTAAAATCTCTCGCCAGAGTCAACAAGCTTGTAGCTAGTCTGCTGCGGGTTTGTAGCAACTTGTCAACAAAGCAGTTCGAACACAACTTGATATCAGCTTGTTAGAATAATCCGTTGTAGAATCCGTTGTTGCTATAGACGCTATAGCGTCTATACTCGGCTGCGTTTGTCACAACTTGTGTGTTTTTGTGTGTATATATATACTGTGTAGATTAACTGGTTTACTATAATACAAATAGACTTTTATTTTAGTTTTATATAATGACGTGCAACAAGAAGAACTAGTTGAAATACTTGCTTAGATTTTGATATGTTATAGTTATATCTTGAAAGAAAATTATAGGGATATTACCTACTTTTTAAAATCGGTAACCATTTCGGAATGTCTCTAAAATATGCAAAATACGAGATATGCTGTATCAAAATATGAATTAATTAAACTTTGCTCGACTAAAGCTGAACGCACATGTCACCCCGTGTCGGGACGATATTCTTCTACAAACAATTTCACTTTGACTTGAAGATATTTGTTGTGCGACTCAATGCATATTTGTAGTCCCCCATCTCACATTGTGTGGCTCCAATGTTTCCGTAAAATATTGCTATATCCGCACAAGTCGAAATGAAGAAAGGACTCAACGGAGAAATTCTTCGATCTTTTTTTACGAGTATTGATATAATTATATATAGCTATACAAACTTTTCTGCTGTTGCATTATAAATCTTTGCACTTCTAATCAGTCTCTTTATAATTTCAATCCACAAATAGACCTGCATTAGACAGACTTTTTACAGACTTCCATTACAGATTTTTGGCCCGCAAAAAGTGTTTATACGTTTACTTCTAGTATAATACCTGAGATTGCTATCTGTAAGTCATCCTCTTTCCTCAAGCGGGGGGGCAGGTGGCGAGCTAGCTAGGATTCAGGGAGGTCATGTGATCCTGAACTTTGGTGACCCCCTTCCATGCGGAGTTTTTGGTCTTTTTTAAATATGACTAACGCCTAAACTTGTTCGAAATAATCCAGTACTGGTATATTTGGTCAATTTATTTGAATTTGACGCTGTTTCCCCAGTATATAACGAGGTCATTTGACTAACTTTTTCCATCGTGAATTTTTTGGAGATCTCTCTCCAGTGACGTAGCGTGACTACCTTAACTCGGGAGTGCAACCTCGAAGTTTTACCGGCGAACCCGGGGAACTCTATAAGCCCGTCTAAAGAAAGCATATAATTATAGCCTTTTGGTTGGTCGGTTGGTGCAAGTTTCAATTAGTTATCAGAGATTAAAAGTTATTATCATTAGTTATTATAGATTACTGAATGAATTGCTTAAGTAGCTATATATAGTATATATAAATATTATCCACTGAATTAAACTGTAGCATGTTTCGACATCACTAGTAAAGTCAATATTACTGGCACATAATTATTGATTGGACATTACATGCAAAAGCTTGAGAATCTGTTTGACGATATATCAGCAAACGAGTAAGACGATTTGTCAAATTACGGCAAGCAACTAAGCAAGTTGAGAAAAATTATACTTTTTACCAACGCTTGTGTGCTATTACCGACCGACGTCGCGTTTAACTCACCACTTTGCCAAAACTAGGGGGTGTAGCACCCCGCCACACCCCTCAGACAATAGTATTCGTCCTGCTTTTCCAAGCCAAAGTTTTAACCATTGATCACGTCGAATAACATACATATAAGGTTGGTAAAAATAAACTAAAAATGCAGATTTGCTAAATTACAACCGCTGGCAAAATATTACCCGAGGAACTTTGGTATTCCTTGATTTACAAAAAACAAACTGGGCAAATTGTAAAATATCAATGAATTTTTCAAATTTAAAAATGCGCAATGTAATTTATAATACTTCAATTGAACATTGAACATTGAAATTGAAGATATTTGAACAAATTGTTTATGGCAATCTGCATATTCCAAGTCCGTGCCTTTCTGGCCATTGTTCGATCAGTGTATCCATGATCGGAATAACTTTAACCTGCTTCAAGATTCCCCCGGTATAGTTTATTTGTTCTCGAGATCTTATTACTGTCTATATTAAAATCCCGGGGGGATTTTAGTATCTCAAAACTGATTTTAGCAACTGTTCTCGTTTGAATTTGATGTCATTTGCGAACTCACGCTGTATCGCACTAATTGTGTAATAAATTTGAACTGTGTCAGGGTGATCTTCTCCATATAGTGTCGATCTGATTTCAAGAGCTTTTCGATTCGAATAAATGCTGACTTGTAATGTTTCATCTCGTGCTGTGTGACTCCAATATTGTAATAACTGTCAGCTGTTGCAGCATGATCTTTTCCGTAAATTTTTAATCTGATTTCAAGCGCTTTTTGATATGACTCTAATGCTGATGTGTACTCTCTTATCTCGTGTTGTGTGACTCCAATGCTATAGTAACTGTCAGCTGTTTCAGGATAATCTTCCCCACGTAGTCCCAATCGAATTTCAAGAGCTTTTCGCTTTGACTTCAATGCTGACATGTAATCTTTCATATCATGTTGTGCGTATCCAATGTTGTAATAACTGTCGGCTGTTGCAAGGTCATCATCTCCATACACTTTCAATCTGATTTCAAGAGCTTTTTCATGGGATTCTAACGCTGATTTGTAATCTTTCATCTCGTGCTGCGCGATTCCAATGCAGTAGTAACTATCAGCTGTCAAGGGATGGCCTTCCCCATGTAATCTTAATCTGATATTTAGAGCTTTTCTATTTGATTCTATTGATGCCTGGTAGTCATGCATCGCATGTTGTGTGATCCCGATGCTGTAATATGTGTCGGCTGTGTCACAATGATCTTTGCCATATAGTTTTAAACTAATTTCAAGAGCTCTTTCATAATACTCTAATGCAGACTTGTAATCCCCTCTGTCCTGTTCTACGGCTCCAATGCTGTAATAACTGTCAGCTGTTGCAGGGTCATTTTCTCCGTATAGCTTTAATCTGATTTTGAGAGCTTTCATATGCGATTCTAATGCTGACTGATAATTTTTCATGTGATATTGAGTGTAACCAATGTTGAAGTACCTTTGAGCTACTTCAGGATGATCTTCAAGGTCAGTATCATCTGTTTTTTTCTAAGAATTTGTGAGACGTATAGATATATTATACAATCCTATGAATTGCGCTGTAGGTATGAGATTTCGAGTGTGCTAATGGACACCTGCGCATCTAAAGCGCAAGTCGTCGTTGTACGATCCCGATGCAACAGATTCAAAACACATATTTACCTGATTACTTTTTATTTCATCACTTGCATCACCATCAACATCCATATGTTTTATCATCTTGCCAAGATCTTTGTTAATATGAGATCTGTGTTGAGCGAAAAAAAAAGTGAGATTGTTTTTTGTGAGAGACACTATCATTAAAAAAAATTATTGTTCAGATAATTAAACAGCAGAATTTGTGTGCCTAAAGCCGCGTTTACACTTCAGGCCTGGACCTGGCCTGGATCAGGTCTAGGCAATATCTGCCACGTTTACACTGTCTTCTCTGTTGATGATATCGGATAGCCAAAGTAATTCACAAAATACTTGGAAGACCCAAAACACGCCGAAAAGTGGTTATACTATGTGTGTCCTATACAAATTATACTATTAAGTCCAAAATTGTCAGGGTAAAGCCTGTTCGCATTACCAAACTCTTGCCACAGGTCCAGGCCTGGTCTAGGCCGGATAAACAACGTTTACGTCTGGGCCTAGACCTGGTCCAGGCCAGGTTTTGTACGTAATGTAAACGCGGCTTAAGATATCAATGTTTGTTATATAATATGCAGCTAGCGTTTTATTGGCGAATCCGCGCGCGCTATTGTGAAACACGATAATAACACATGGGCGATTATTCATGAAAATAATACAGGTGCAATTATCGTGTTTGATCCACCAATTAGGAATCAGGTATACGCGCCCTGGGGGATAAAAAATTTTCAAAAAAGAGTTTTTTATTGTGTAATGAAAACAAAAATACATGGATGGTTAAAAATATGGACGTTAAAATTGACGTTGACGGCAAACACCACAGACCGCTAACCACAAACGTTGAACCTTACATCGCTTTGAAAGTAATTTCTACAGGTTTTGAACAGTTTACATTTCATGCTTCAATTTTAATGAAAAAATTGTCTTCAACCAGATAATACTTGACTAAAGAATTGGACCTGTTTGCGGTTATCGGTTCACCATAAACGTCAATCTTAAAGTTCCTATTTTATCTGACGCCCAGATGAAGTTTGTTTTTCAGAATTTTCCACCCCCCAACTGTGCCAAATATAGTATTTTGTCACGTCCCAGATTTGGGAAGAACGTCGGCGAAACTAATACCAAGGTTCTCGCCGTGCGTAATGAAGACCATTGATATGAAGTTAATGATGTCACTGAACTCACAATTGGAGAGCTGTGAACAGTCAAAGGCATGGTAATAAATTTCTTCAAAGTTAAACAAACTGAACGCTCGAGTTTAATGATTTCAATTATCTGTTTGGATTCTTATACGTAAGGCGTTTAATTAACGAAACACAGAATGCACACGTTTAAATCCTAACCATTTTCTATATCTCTATGGATAGAAGCTTTTGTCATGTACCTCAAGTTTATAGCTTCCTTTTTTTCATTCACCTCCTCCATGTTTTCAATCTTCACCTTCAGTCCTTCCACTTTAATTCCAACCAGAGAAAGTTCTTCTTGCAAGCTTTCCTTCATCCTTCCTGATTCGTAATCCGCCAAGACTTCCAGAAACCTTTCGTCTGTGAAACAATGTAACTCAAAATGCAAACATCCTGGTCGAATGTCACGAACGTCCTGATCATCGCGTTCGCCACCAACACCTCTTTTAACTGCATCTTCGATTATTGGTTTTAATGAATTATAAGCCACATACACAGCTCCCAGACCTATTCCTATTCCCAGACCTACTCCTAGTCCTTGTCCCAGTCCTTGTCCTAGCGTTTTCGCTGTTCCACACACTTCCTTTGCTACTTCTACATTGTCCGTGGCAATAGTGAACGCAAATAAACCACCAAGTAATGATGCACTAGTTCGTAAAACCTTTCCAGCTTCCGAAAATGTCTCTGCCATACAGGAGATATGCTAAAAGATATTATAATATAACATAAGCAGCCCAAGAATAAGCGTGTGCCATCAATGTTTATCATCGTACATGACTAGTGTTAAGGTATTTGCTCTGCTAAGACCTACGAAGTAACCATATAAATAAATGCCAAAAACATCAATATACACAAATAGAAACTTGAAATTAAAAATACCAAAGAATGATAACTTCCCTGATCCCTGAGGGAAAAAATTGAAATACGCATTTTCCGTGAATTATTTTTGCCACACACCTGGATGCCAGAGGTTGTGGCCCACGTCATTTTTTTACTAATGAACGAAAGTGATTGGCATAAAAACAGGGAAGTCGCATTTTTTGCTATACTATATTATATAAAGACAATGACGTGACCTAAAACTTCTTTTATCTAAAACTTTCTTGAAACACTTTCTAGAATACATGTGGTAATCTATCTGTACTATAATACAATAGTGCCGGCCTAGATATTTTAACAGTATAAAGGAAAACGCCCTATAATTTCAACTAGACTCTTTTGATATTTTTGCCTTTCTCTTTTACATGGTTAATTCGTAAGCTCTAGCGGAAGTTGCTTTCCTTAGCGTTATATAGGAACATAAACATTGATGTCGCACGCTTATTTTTGGGCTGTCTGTCTACATAACAAAGTACAATACTCTCCGAGCGAGTAAGGGCCATGCCAGGGTTCTAACCCGCCCAAAAACTAAGCTAAAACATGTGTATATTCCCGTCTTCAAGCTAAATCTGATGATTATCTCCCGAGACACGCAGTCAACTGAAACATTCAATCACCTCACAAAGAGCAATCTCATGTGAAACTCATTGATATCCGGATTTCTCCTCTATAACCTGACACTAACAATATTTCAAAGATTTTGAATATCCACTCTAGTTAAAAAAATTTGAGGATTTTTTCGACTCACGGCAGTTCCTAATAACCGATATTAATTGCTTATCTATCTTCTGAATGAAATTTTCACTGTAAGGTCAGCGATGACGTCTTAAGTCTTTGACATAATATGCTTTATTATAGTCGACTGAATCCGTGCGTTTTTTTCTATTTTATGTTATTCGAAACCATGGGTTCGCAAACGTTGAGGAAATTCAGCAATTTCCAGCGTCTGGGAATTTATCGACAATATATAGGATAGTTATGATACGATCGAGTTTAAGTTTGATGTCAGGTAACCAAGGCGAAGCACTTTGCATGTTTTTATTATTCATGCAAAGTATCTCTATAGAAGTATCGCTATTCTATATCGTAAATGCGAAGTTTTTTGTGTCATTTTAAAATGACCACAAACATATCTTCTCAAGGTTGATTCATCATCGTCGGCAAGTGAACAATTGCATGGCTTTCATTGATTAAAAGCTTCCAAACATATATCGACTTGGCACATCCGTTAGAAGCATATAATAGTTCCCGATGTATAAAATTTCCGACAGCTCTATTAGAGTCACTACTACCTCTTCCAAGAGCTTCGATCGTGAGTTGCGAAAATTGATCTTTTAACTCTATTGCCGAGGTGAAATTCGATAATCTATTACGGTATTTTGATAGTGAATTACGGTATTTCTACCACAACAACGAACATTTTATAAACAAAAGTACGCTCAAATCAATTACTAAAGAGTAATATATCAAACCAAAACGCTACATACTGTTCATGCAATTACATACTATAAAATGGTACCTCAAGTTTCAAATAGTTTGTGTGTAAACGTCAATAAATAATGATTTTCTCTGGCTTATTTGCAGCATAATATTCAGAGGCGAAGCGTGACTTTCTTAACTGAAGGAGGGGCGGAGGCAACCCCTAAGTTTACCGACAAACACGTCACACTTGAAGCCCCTGTAAAGAAAGCATACAGCCTTTTGCTCGGTTGGTGCAAGGTTTAATTATTGTATCATTTATAAATTAAAATAAATTGCTGAAGTAACTATTTACAGTATATGATTATGATTATGATTATTATGATTATGATTATTATTAAAATACTTGAATGGCAGTTCAAAAACGAACTGAAAAACACAAGTTTACAAGTATCAGAAATAAGACTATTTACATATTTACAGTGATAAAATACTCAGAAATACAATTACTAACATGTTAATACCATAACTACAAAAGATATGCTAACATTAGGTTCTAAAATATTAAAATATTAAAAAGAGTTCCATTTACGTATGCAATACGGCAAAAAGCTATCATTATAGCGTTTCGTTCGACATTTAAAAAGAGAGATCGATCGAGGATGTCTGAGATCGTACTCATGGGTTAAAAGTTTGGGTAATAGACTAGAAATTTTACCCGAAGGGTCATTATAATTATTTTTATAAAAGGTTCTGCATAACCGTTCCCTTCTCGCTTCTAAGGTAGGTAAATTCAGGTCTTTAAGGCTTTCGGTGTAGGACAAATGGGGAAAAATAATTTTGAACGCACGTTGCTGAATATGTTCCAATTCAACGGTGAGGAAATTAGGTAGTGAGGTATGCCAAACTGGACATGCATATTCCAGGACAGGTCTGATGAAACTACAATATACCGCCTTAAGATCACTAGGTTGGACACCATTTCTTCTTAATAGCCTTAAGGCATACAGGCGTTTGCTTGCTTTAGAGGATATGTGCCTGATGTGTGTGGTCCACTTGAGATCGGAGGTTAAATTTACCCAGGAGTTTGATAGAGTTCACAGCCTCCAGAGGCAGGTTATTGACAAGCAAGGGTTGTGCCGGGGGTTGATTGATCAAGAAGGACACGGTGAAATCTTTAGTTTTTTTTACGTTTAATTTCATGTTGTTCACATTCGACCACTGAGACACCTTATCGAGTTCTTGCTGTAATTTTGGAAAATCCGGTTCACATACTCTAACAACTTCAGAAATAGCACAATCATCAACGTACTTGTACAGTGGTAGTTCACTGGATAGATCGTTGACCATTATAAGAAAGAACAAAGGCCCCAATTTTGTGCCTTGCGGAACTCCAGCATTGATTTCTTTCCAATCAGATTTACAAGATTTTAATTTAACGCGCTGTTGTCTGCCTTGAAGGAAACTTGAACACCAGTTTAATAACACGGGTGGAACGTTGAGGAGTTGTAATTTGCGCATTAGAATGTTATGGTCAATTCGATCAAACGCTTTGGAAAAATCAATAAAGCAGGATCGAATAATGGTATTAGGTGTTTCCAGGGCCGAAAGCCAATGGTGGATTAGGTGCACGAGGGCGTGAGTCGTTGAGGACTTTTTCACACAGCCAAACTGGAGGGGATCAATGAATGGCATAACAATGGGTGCAAGCCAATTGAACACGAAAGACTCAAGGATCTTGCTCAGTACTGCCGTGAGGGATATAGGTCTAAGGTCCGTATCAATAGATTTCGGTGTAGGGATCTTGCTTAAAGGGAGAACATCCGCGCATTTCCACAGATCAGGTACACGACCTTCTCTAATGGAAGAGTTAAACATGGAGCATACAGGGTAGCTAATATTTGCGGCACATGTTTTCAGGATCCAATTGGGGATCTCATCAGGTCCTACAGACTTACGATCGTTAACACCTGCCAATGCAAGTCACAGTTCAACGCATCACGCGTAATGACGTATCTATCAGGAACATTGGAAACGGGTACTGGAGTGAAATTTAAATGCGGTATATCAGCAGCAGCACTGCAGAAGGATTCATTAATGACGGTGGCAAGTTCAAAGTCTCTCAAGACGGTGCCGTTTATGGCTAGACTATTAAACGGAGGGGGGTTAGACATTCCTGACAACTGCTTGATACCGTCCCACCACTTTTTAGGATTGCTCTGGTTCATGTGATTGATTTTGTCGTTATAGAATCTTCGACGTGCACTTTTACAGAGTTTTATCACTTTATTGCGATAAACATTAAATTTGGGAAGGTCATTATTTCAACCAAGCTTGTTGACGTTTCTTAATGGATTCTTTAATAGCGGGAGTAATCCATGGTTTATCGTTGGGATGGAGTTTAACAGTACGCATGGGAATACATGAATTCAAAGCACCATGAACCACAGACTGGAACAAATCCAGTTGATCGTCACATGAATTTCGCCTCATGAGCGGTGTCCAATTGACCGAGTCCAGGCAGGATATCAAATTTCGTTTGTTGGAAACACGATAATCACGCTTTTGGAGTCGTGTGGTGGGTAGGCTTGGAGCATGTGGTGAAGTGGGTTGAAGTAATATGCTAGAATGATCAGATTGGCCAATAGGTGGCAGGATGGTAGCATCGTAGTAAGCCGATAAAGTTGAAAATGCTTGATCAAGGATATTACTTCCCTGGTAGGCTTGGTGACCAGAGTTTTCAATCTAAAGGAATTGCACAGATTTCCTGGCTTAAATTGGTTAAATCTCCGAGAACCAGGACAGCGGAATTAGGATAGTTGGCCAGTGAGGAATCTAAACATTTGAAGATATGCGTTCGAAGCGCGTGGTCATCGCTTTGGGGGGGGTGATAAACTGTTCCCAGGATAATGGAGTTTATTCCTCGGGGTAATCGATCCATTTTGATTAAAAACCATTGACTCTCAATTTCAGGATCGCCTAAGTCAGTTAATTCGGTAAAATTAAGGTTTGAGTTAA